TTTCTAGTCACATAGTTCAATTCTATACCACAATCAACTATGTTACCTTCAGTTGTTAAGAAAACATTGAATATATCAAAAAATAATTYGACATTGTATCATAGCCTGTGATGGACTTGCAACCTATCCAGTGTGTACCCCGCCCTTAGCAGTGACTGCTGGATATGGGCACCAGTGACCCCTGCGACCCTGAAAGGAATAAGCTGACATAAATGATGAATGGATGGATCATAGCCTATCTAATTGGCTTGAAATTAGCCTCTGTCTCTTTAAGAACCTCCTACTGTTTCTGACATTCCCACTTCATTTTCACAACAATGCTGGGAAGGGGTGTTCTTTGTGGCAAAATCTTGGCTGCAGACATATTGCATAATCCCCCACCCCCAGTTTGTAAAGATGCGATTTCCATAGATGTATTATCTTGGTCTCATTAGTGCTGTATTATACTATAGCACTTGATTTTCTATTTCTCTGTTTATATGAGGGGCYGTACAAGCCATAATATACTCACACACATATACACTCCTCTCACATACATATATTCTCCTCACACGCACATACATTCTTGTCTCACAGGATATATTATGAATGCCTTTCCTGATTTAAGAGTTAAGTCAAGTAACCCAGAAAGTGACAGGGTCAGGTCAGTGTCAGACCCTTATCATATGTGGAATTGGCATGATTGCACTCTGTAAATGAAGGGAGTGCTTTTCCTGTAAAAGCAGCATATTGTTTATTTTTTATTAATTAATATTTAGTTATTTTTATATTTTTGTTGTGTCTGCCAGTTTGTGAATAAATCCATTGGCCCACCAGTCTAAAGGACTTCCTTATGTTTTATTCAGCCTACACATATCACTGGTACTTCTCTCAATTTACTTAACACTGACTTAACCGGTATAGCAGTACTCCTGGTTTCAGCATTATGGTRTTTCAAAAAGAGAGTGTGTTTCATTACTGTCAAAACAAAACAGTACAATCTATAAAGCAATATTTTTTTCAACAAAATTATTGTAGAATTTTCTTCATTTTTTAACACAAAATGGTTTGAAAATTGTTAAACAAAAAACATTGAAAAATGAAAAAGGGGTGGATATTTTTCACTTCTTTTTTTCCTCAAATTGAATCTTAATTAGAAAATTCACAAACAGTTCAAATTCAAGTTTATTTATAAAGCGCCAAGTCACAACATACGTTGTCTCAGGGCACTGTATATAAAA